TAATCATAATGACACCTTGGATTTGTGATTGTCACGTGATTGAATTTTATTAGTGATGTTGTAAACAGTATTAATTTTTGCATTGGTATTTCAAAGTTGGATGCGTGGTTTAATGAGATATTAATGCAGTGCATTAATATTCCAATAATAATAATATAGGTGTATTGCATTGGCATTCCAGAGCTGTGACTATTTTGACATTTTGGATGTGCATTAATAACAAATATATAGATGCATTGGATTGTTATTAATAATTGTGGTTTAATGACATTTGTTTAGGATCGCTATTAATAATTATATAGGTGCATTGTATTGACATTGCAAACCTTTCTTCGTATTTAATTGTGTTGACATTCGAAATGTCTAAATAAGAGATTATAAAAAGGGTGTATGTTCAGTTGTATATTAGCGAAATATATTAGTTAGTGTCAACAATACATCTGGTATTTTGTTAATTGTTTATAAATCATTTTAGTTTGTGTCAATAATACTTTTGTTCTTTATGATTTCGTTAATTGATGATTTTCTATTTATTTATGTTTTTGTTGTTGTTTACAGGTCAAAGATTCATGAATTAACATGGAATAAAGTTAGAATATCTGATTGACATTGTCAAATTATTTTGATTCGTTCTTCTGAACTGAAAGTATATCTTTTAACTAATTTAATATGAAATTGTAAGCACATCTTCTAACTATTTTAACGGTTATTATTTAATTGAATGATTGTTTTTGTTTAGTCAATCTATTTGAATGATTAATTATGTTAGTTCTGTCGAATAGTAAGTGTATTCATTAATAATTTTACTATGAAGATTAATTAACTTTTGTTGATTTCATTTTCAGGTAACAGCTGCGATACGAATGAATAATTGTTCCTTAACAATCTTAACATGAAGATCGATTGAATTTTGTTATGTTTGTTTTCAAGGTACTTTACTAAGATCAAATTGAGGATAATCATATTGTCAACCGAATTGTGAGTATGTGTCATATCTATATTAGTAGAAACGGTTCATTTGTGTTGAATATGTTTTCTGTAAGAACATTCGTCTATTTTATTTTGTTATATAAATGATTAATTGTTTATGTCCTGCTGATGTGTGAGTATATATGTTAAATGAATTAATTTTGGTTGATTCCGTTTTCCAATTAATAGGTGTTATTTAAAATATTTTTTATTAGTCATAATATGATAATCTCTTAAATTTGGGTTAAGGAAACCATTCATTTTATCATCACACGTATTTCGGTTTCCATTGTCGAACCACTTATTTTATCATCACACACATTTTGGTTTTATATGTTCCTTGATTTCTACTAAATATTCATAGTAGTAAATTAGTCATAACTTGCTCAATAAAAATCCAATTGATAAGCGATTTGAATATTTAAAAACTAGACAGACAGGGCTTTAATTTGATATATTATACGCTTAGTTTGGATAACTATAGCCCCACTGTCGAATAATTATTTTTATCATCACACACATTTCGGTTTCCACTAAACAGTCAGTAGTACATTGACCATAACTTGCTCAATAAAACTATAATTGATGAGAAGTTTGAATCTTTAGAAACTAGACAGACAGAGATTTAATTTGGTATATTATGTGCTTAATTTGGATAACTGTAACCCCACTGCCAAATCATTCATTTTATCATCACACATGTTTTGGTTTCAACTGAACAATCAGTAGTTTTAATTGTATTTGTTCTATTTCTTTTTGTTGATATTTTTTTATGTTACATAAATATATCGAAAACAGGTTGTTGCTGAATATAATAAATTTTATTTGTATCACAAATATCATCTAATGTTTGTTGCCGAACCATGTAGCTTTAGTAAATCATTTGTAATATGTCGAACCATTATTATTATCCTTAAAGGAAAACAAATATTGTTATGTAATTTTAATTGTAATTGTTCTAGCTCTTTTTGTTGATATCTTTTTATGTTACGTATATATATCACGAAAAGAGGTTGTTGCTGTATATAACTAATTTCATTTATTTAACAAATATCAACTGATATTTGATGTTGAACTATGTAGCTTTAGTAAACCATTCATTTTATCATCACACACATTTAGGTTTTCGCTGAACAATTAGTAGTAAATTGACTATAACTTGATCAATAAAACTCCAATTGATGAGAAGTTTGAATATTTAAATATCAACTGATGTTTGATGTTGAACCATGTAGCTTTAGTAAACCATTCATTTTATCATCACACACATTTAGATTTCCGTTGAACAATTAGTAGTAAATTGACCATAACTTGATCAATAAAACTCCAATGGACGAGAGGTTTGAATATTTAAAAACTAGATAGATAGAGCTTTAATTTGATATATTATACTCTTAATTTAGATAACTGTAGCCCCATTATCAAACCATTCCTTTTATCATTACTCACATTTCGGTTTCCACTTAACAGTCAGTAGCAAATCGACCATAACTTTCTCAATAAAAATCCAATTGATGAGAGGTTTGAATCTTTATAAACTATACAGATAGTGATTTAATTTGATGTATTATACACTTAATTTGGATAACTTTAGCCCCACTTCCAAACCATTCATTTTATCATCACACACATTTTAGTTTCTACTGAGCAGTCAGTAGTAAAGTGATCATAACTTACTCGATAAAAATCTAATTGATGAGAGGTTTGAATCTTTAGAAACTTGGTAGACAGGGTTTTAATTTGATATATTATAAGGTTAATTTGGATAACTATAGCCCCACTGTCGAATAATTCCTTTTATTATCACACACATTTCAGTTTCCCCTATTTATCGATTTCCACTGAACAGTCAGTGGTAAATTAGTCATAACTTGCTCAATAAAATCTAATTGATGAGCGGTTTGAATCTTTGGAAACTAGAAAGATAGGGCTTTAATTTAATATACTATATGATGAATTTGGATAATTATAGATCTATTTCCGAACCATTAATTTTATCATCACACACATAAAACAAATTCAATTTTAGTGATGATAAAGGAAAACAAATATTGATACGTAGTTTTAATTATATTTGTTCTATCTCTTTTTGTTGAATTTTGGATTGATTTTGTTGTTTGATTTGTGGGTTTTGTGGGTTTTACAATTATCGTTTTTTCATTAGGATGTTATCATCAAATGTTTTTTTTTTTGCTATAGGTGGTGGTCAATTCTATTTGCAGCAAATGAATTTGTGTCACATAACCTTTATCTTCATGGCTTCTTCAATGCTTCAACTAAGTTACTTTCAGATTATACTGTTGGAGTTGTTGCTGCTTTCTATGTGAGTTCTCTTCTCAACATTCTTAATTCTTTTTTCTAAAATAATAATAATAAAAATAATTCACTTTCTCTTCTCAACAATCAAAATCAGTTTTTTCCTTTGATCCTACAAGTCTTTTGCTTAAATGTTCACATTTTTCAACAAGGTTTCTCTTTCTCTGGTTGATTTATAGGCTTATCAATAATACCCAGTGGGTTATCCTGCAAATTTTTTTGCTTTTCCGTACAAAGTTTTAAACTTTGGTTACCGATGTCAAATGGTAACATATTTGAGAAGAACCATGATGATATAAATTTTGAGTTCAATTTGTGGATATTTTATTTATTGATTTTTTAATTATCAATTCAAGATAAAATGAACTTCAATATAGAAAATGTATTTTTGAAACACAAAAAAACCAATAATAATGTTTAAAAAAAAAAAAAATACCCACGCAACGCAACTTGAAAATATATATAAGTTACAGAAATTATGGAAGGTCAATATAAATTTTAAGTTTAAATAGTTGATCTTAATAATATTTAGGTGATAGTAAATATCATACACGATACATTACAAAATACTGACATCTAATATCAAAGACATGTCTGCAAAAATAATATCAATTGTACAAGATGATGATCTTGAAAGTATAATTAAACCATATAATATTCAAGTTATCTTCTCAAGTTGAATGAATAATTTAATAACATCTACCTATAATTGATATTAATAATTATACATATATAATCATTAATTTTATCTTCACACACACACACATATATACTTTAAAATTTGTATAATTTAATAATTATTATGTCTTAATCAATTAGTTTATTTTGTTAAAATAAATCTGTTTACAATCTATTTTAAAAATATTGAATAAACATATCATGCAATGTGTAGACCCTATGTCTAGTTTATTTATATTTCACACAAAGATTGAATAATTTTTTTTGAACATTAAATTTAAATGCATAAAATTTGCTTCTACACTAATCAATTTATCACGCAACTATAATGACTCGTCAATTAATATAATATATAATATATTTATTAGATATTATAACAAAAAAATTGTTGATCATTTTAGGTTTATGTAAAATTGTAATATAATCTCATATAATTTTAACCAAATACAAAAATTAATATGCCAATAATGTGTGTAAAATATTATTTCATTGGCTTTAACGCTGCCTATTGTAACAGTTTCTAGAACTCTCCCTCAAAAACCTTAAAAAAAAAGAAAACCCTAAACACGTGTGTACGTAAAATTGGAAAGTTAAATATGAAATAAAATTATGGCCCTTGATTTTTGTTATTATTAAATATGATCATTAAAATAAAATACATGGGACAACACCCAATCGACATAGAAAGGCAAAAAGAAAATCCAATTTGTTAGCATAATAAAATTCATGAACTGCCCAATAATGAATAATGACACCCATACCCCGAGTTTTAAATAAAGAAAATCTGGATAATTAGAAAGTAGTAGCAGATTGGGATAGGTCGTTAATTTCCGAATACCCAGCGACGTCGTATGGTTTCCCTTCGCCGGTGATGAAATTACAAACGTAACCTTGTGATAAAAATCTTCTCCCACAGAATTCATTCAAAAACTCAGCTGTCCAAAGCCAAAAAATTTGGTGAAAACCAGGGGTATTTTGGTAACTTAGTGATTATATAAATGAAACACTGGGGCTCTGCTATTTGTAGGTATTGTGAAAGAAAGGGCGAGCGAAGCAGAGGAGTTTCCGTTATCCACATTGTCAATATCTCTCTTGGAAATTAAAGATAGAAAAAACCCCAGTTTCAATCAAGAATTTATTTCCAGGATTAAATCGTTAGGGTTTCCTTATTTTGAATCCAAATTCGTTTATCAATCGACTTTGGTTGCAAGAAAAAATGGTTTCTGATTCAATCACCAACGCTTCGATTCCATCTATCCCCAACTCCAAGGATTTCGCCAAGAAAAAGAGGGTAATTAATTTCATATATTCCATCTTTAATTTTCGTATTGTACTTTTTATTTTTTTATATAATTGATTTTGTGTTCTTGTTTGGGTTTCAGACCAATAGGTCTGCCAAATTGAAGCAGTGCAAGCTCGACGCTCGTCGCGAGCAATGGCTTTCGCAAGGTATGCAAACGATCTTTATTTGCTTGCGTAACATCTTGAGTTTATAATGATTCTGAATATAATTAAATAATATTTTTGTTTTCTTTGTTGTTTTGGTTTTTATTTTTATTTTTATTTTTATCGATTTGTGATGGTTTGGTATTTGTTAGGTGCGGCGAAGAGCAAGGGATGCAAGGACGGATTAGGGGATGACCGGAAGGAGAGGGACCGGGCGTTGGAAAATTCAAGGCAAAGAGAGGAGGACAATAATAACGACAGATCGATCCATCATGAGAGTGATTCAGAGTCCCCGTCGAACAGCCCTGTTAACAGCCTCTTAAGTGGCGCAGGAACGGATTCAGCTACGAATTTCGGTGGAAGTAGTGGCAGCAGTAGCAGCAGCGGTAGTAGTGTTTGCTGTAGCAGCACTGGTGGCTGTTGCTCTGGTAGCATAACGGAAGAGGAAGAGGAAGATGGTTGTTTGGACGATTGGGAGGCTGTAGCCGATGCTCTTGCCGCGGATGATGATAACAATAACAATAAAACGGAAGCGGAACATGATAATCCCTGTTACCAATCACCCTCTGAGAGTCAATTAAGTGTTCAGTCCGATTCTCTGCATGATTTGACCAGTGAGTTTGGTTTAGATTCTGTGAATTCAATGCCTGACAGTGCGAGAGCTGGGTATAATAAGCGGGCATGGAGACCGGATGATGCTTTTAGACCTCAGACACTGCCTAATTTGGCAAAGCAGCGGAGTTTTCCTGCTTCGGATCGGCGTTTTGTTCCAGGTGGGGTTCCATGGACTTGCAACAATGTTTTAACAGTGCCCTCTTCTTGTCCTATATGTTGTGAGGAATTGGACTTCACAGACACGAATTTTTTGCCCTGTTTGTGCGGTTTCCGACTCTGCTTGTTTTGTCACAAGAGGATTCTTGAGGAGGATGGGCGGTGTCCTGGCTGAAGGAAGCCATATAAGCGTGATGAAATTGAGTCGGAGGCAAGTGTGCAAGGAGGCAGCCTGACATTTCGGTTGGCTCGTTCTTGTAGCATGATTGCGAGGTCTTAAGTAGAGGAGATGTCTTCGTCCCTGTTTTCTTGAATTAAGTATGTTGGGTCTATCTTTTTCGTGTGTCTTTTATGTTGTTATGTTAGTGTTAGACTCATTTCATAGACACTTTAGATGTTGATATAGGGTTATTGTGTTTTTGCACCCGGGAATTGAGCTGCTTCTCTTATGAGTTTGGTTCTTATCTGTATGGTGCATGTGTTAATGTAGAGGACTTATGTTGCTATTATGTGGATAGATAAGGTGGTATAGAAATTGAATACATAAAAAAGTGATTATAATAACTGTTCTATGCTTCACTTAGTTTCAATGTTGCATGGGCCTTTTTCTATATATATTTCTTCCTTCCTCAGAATAACTTTACCAGTTTAATTTCCACAACGAAAGTTGTCCTCAGACCGTTGATACTCAGATTGGCCTATTTATTTTAAATTTGTTGTCTGCACATGATTTCATAGAAGCCTTGAAGCTGACGTAATTTTCACATGAATGTGTTGTATTTCCCTTTATTCTAGTTTTGGTTGTATTCTTCATTAACACATTTCTTAGTTGTATTACATTTAATGGCCTTAAATGCTTTCTAAAGGGTTCTGTGCAGTGTGTACATGTAGAGATTCCTTTTATGGGAGTTGGACTTAAAAATTGATTATTAGTCATAGTCTTAGTTACCATCTAATCTTTGAACGTGCAGTCTTTATGCACGGAGGTGTACATGCTGAGATTTTCATGCATACATGATAGTCCTAGATTCTCTCTATGGTTCTGGTCTGTGCTGTCTACAGTTGCAAATTCACATAGCTGACTTTGACTGTAGTACTTATTCAATCTTAATTCATTGCTAAAGAGTCAATTTTTGCTGTTACTTTTAGAGATTAATTATTTGAAAAAGTATTAGAATAGAATATATATGGAGGTGCCACCAAAGCCTAAAATATGTTGAAAGGAAATCTTTGGATGGTGTATGATTAATTTACTAGTCTAGGCCTCATTTGTTGTGGTCTGCTTCATGCTTCAAGGTGTTTTTTGATTGTCACTTAACATATCACATGTATTAAATCTATTTGTAGCTTTGTCTTTCTGGTTTATACACTGTTGTATTCAATGATGGATGATGCCATGGTGAGGTTTTGAGGTTAGAGTGGTAAATGTCCTGCAGGCTGAAATCTACTGGGGTTCTCTATATAGTGAATAGTTGTACAATGCTTTAGCCTTGCTTCTTGTGTAAAAGTTTCTAGCCTCGTTTCTGAGGTTCATTTGTATTGAGGCTCGTATCTCTGCCAATTTCGAATATATGGGGTTAAAAGCAATCTTTACCTCCCGAATGTGTATAGATTGTGTTATTTACAATATTTTATTTCACTGCTATTGTGATATTAATGTCTGGCAAGTCAATTTAATTTGTCACAATCTGATTTTTTGTAAAAATTGGCTGTGTTTGCATAGTTACTAAATTTCTTTATACACACACACACACACCTCATTTAAATATATGGTTACCTACATATGACAAATTTTACTATTTATTAATTTCCCTGTCACATTCAAGTAATTTCTGTAGACAATAGAAGCAGTTATTTTCTCCAAATGGGAAGAAAAAGAGGAAGGTGAGTATTTGACTTTTTCATGAGAGGAGAAAATGAAAAGCAAATAAAAGTTATGGGTTATTACTCTGAGATTGATGTTGAACTGTGATTTAGTGTTCCACTGCAATGTGCTTTAACTAATATTTTCATGATTTGAGCTGATCAGTGTAGTGAGGTGTCATCTTTCTCAAGCAATAGATCTAGGTGGTGACAGATTGCATAGAAGTTTTTGAAGTGTTTCTTTATCTGTAAGTACTTCCGATCTCCCCTCTCCACACATGTTTGTAATTTTGTGTAGAAACTCTAGAGATAAATGTTTCTTTCTGAGTCATTCTAATCTGTGTATAGCTCAGTAGCTTAGGCTGTGATAGTAGATTATCACATGTGTGATTGTGTTCTTGGCCAATTTTGGATCTCTTAATTATTGTGGTTCTCTTTTGAACTGCTTCTCATCTTTATTTGCTTTTTTGTTGTGGAAAATTCTCGTTTAGGGACCTATTGTCATGCTTTACCAGCTTTTTCATGATAGCTAGCAGCATTTGTTTTAGGGGCACTATCGATACTGGATCTTGATAACGAAGTCATATGCTAACCCAACCTGAAGTTGAAGTGTTCCTGTGTCTGGGGTAGGTATTAGCAATTTATTTACTCATTTTATATGGTCATCCGTGATGTATTCATTTTAAGCAATGAAATTTTGCATTTTACTAACATGAATTACTTCGGTGAAGTTTTAGTTCTTTGGGAAATTGAAGTACTGTGAAACCTTCTGGTCTCATCACTTTTAATCGAAGAAGTCTTATAATGTTAGAATTTGTTCAAATGTACATATCATTTTTTTTTTAGGGTAATGATGTACTTATCATTTAGATTGTAGTTTTGCTCAATTTTGGCTTGAAAACAGGGATGTAGCACAACTTCATTCACGTTGTACTTGTACATATGTTTGTATTTATGTTTTTACAATTGTTGCAAGCCCTATTTTCTGTATAAATTTAACCTTTTGAGTGTGGCCAGAATCTAGCAAATTACAATCTAAATGATTGGTCGGATGCATTTAGTAAAGTACAATCTAAACTACCTTTACGTCTTTGAAATTATGATTTTACAATTGTTGCAAGCATTGTTTTCATGCAGTAATTTAACATTGCTAAACACTTGAATCTATTGCCCTACTAGTACTCTAAGGGCTTTTATCTTACAAATGGTTCATAGACCTCAATTTATTTTTCTTGCAGTTGCAGCCATTCATGTATCTACTCACGAGTTCGTACTGCTAATTGAGCATTTATTTGGATGTATTGCGTGTAATAATATTTCTAATGGGGCATTTATTTGGATTGATTGCGAGTAATAATTTCAATTAAAACCAATTTGTTTTATGATGTTTCTTATTGTTCATTTTCTCCTGTGATTGCTGATAGTTTGAACTTTTGTCTCAAACCCTGTTACTGAATTCATTTCCAGTAAGTTTTAGCTGGATCATGGAGTTCGTCAAATTTTGTCATCTTAAAGATATAATACATATAATCTTGTTATTTGTCACTTGCTATCCTGGGAAATCCTTGAAAGAATTTGGGTGGGGACTGGGGTTTCTCTTGACTTGTGGGGAAGACATGTCTTTGGAAACAACCAAAAAAAAAATAAAAAGCAGTTGCAGCTCTGTTCTTGACAATCCATGAAAGGCCCGCAAGGCGGGTCTTTTGATGCTTTCAAATCTTAGAATATATTGATCAAGTATACATTAAAACTAGATACTGTAATTATATAATATGTAAAACAAGCTTGGAGCTAACAATTGTTAGCGATAGTTATTGAAGAAGACGATTATGGACAAAATATCTTGTTTAGGAGCCCTGAAATGCGAGATTCTGATCTAAGTTGCTCAGGGAGTGTGTTCCACCACTTGATGAAGGTAGAATCCTCGAAAAACACATCAGCACCTAGCTCTACACGTTAAATCCACGAAACTACCTTTTCATCCAGGTGCGAAATCATTTCCCTAACATCTTCTGACAAACCGAAATTGTTACTAGTTCTAAGGCAAATCTCCAGCTCCTCTACCTCTGCCCAGAAACAGGATTCCCAACTGGATCCTTTTTCCATTTTCAAGGCATACTCACGCCACTTTTGGGTGAATCTGTAACGTTTCGGTCTGCCATTTATCATATAAGCTCCTGTATCTTCATTTTTCAAGTGCCTGTAGTAGTTAGCAATATCTAGAGGTTCAACAATGCGTCGGTACCTTGTTCCAATATTCAACCACTCTTCACGACCTTCAAACCCATCAGGAAGTTCGTATCTTTTTATCATTTCCATTATCTCGTCTATGATACCAACCAATTCAAGCCTCGTCACATTTGCGGCGAAATCATCATGGCCTTTTGACTTCTTGAAGGCATCATAGTAGCTGTGTTTGTTAGCCTCACACTTGGCTTTATATCTTTCCAGCTTTTCTATTCCATTTTCGATATTCCTCATTTTACCGTCGATCCTTTCTTGGTTTCTCAATTTTTGCTTCTCTAACTCTTTGGCAGCGCAAAGGCACAATCTGGCTCTTGTGCTCTGTAATTGGAAGATTCAAGACATAAACATTAGTTTTGATATGAAAAATCTTAAAATCGAATGTTTAATTTTGGCATTACTTAAAAGACTTACCAAACCCAGGTTATTCAAGAGAGTGTCAATTCTTTCTCTTCCAACAACACCATCTGAAGACAATGGAAGCCCATCCCAAGAGTCTAAATCGGTCACATTTTTCGTCTCTAAGCTCTGTAATTTATCTAGATATTTCTGGTGCTCCTTGAGGCTTCTTATAGCAACCTGTTGAACTTCTGCTTCGGAGCGTAATTGAGAAGAGTAGAACAGTATCTGCAGAACAGCATCAGGGTTTTTCAAAAGCAACAGCTCGCTTTCATCATCTGTAAAAATAATATAGTTTCCGAATGGTCTATACGGGCTTAGCTCAATAAAACTTGACAAAGTTTCGGATAACCTATTTGTGTTTCCCATCAATTGACAAGCGGCATGACTTGTAAGAGATGAAGCGTTCCTCGTTACATTTTCATAAAGTTTTGATGATGCTTCTTCAATTGGCTCTTGAAAGGGAAGTGTGGTTTTGGGATTCAAGTAATCCAGGATTAAGGGTAGGTAGTTCTCGATGGAAGAGAGAGGAGCAAACAAAACTCGAGGTATAATATCGTATCTCGAAACAAAGTGAAGGAAGTACTGTGACCAATTTTCTCGCCCAAGAGCATGATTGAATATTCTATCACCAACAAGGGGAGATCCAAAAGTGACACAGAACGGTGGCTTCCTGAGGTTTATTGTTGAATCGGGTTTGTATTGCTGCTGAAGGAACCACACTGTCACTAGAATGGCAATAGCACCACCTGAGGAATGCCCTGTAAACACTATTTGCTTATTCTCTGCCACAGCTTTCCCCACCTGGAAATAATCAGAAACACAAGCAGCAGGGCTGATTCAATGAAAATCTGGGGCCTTGGATAAAAATTATTATTAAGAGAATGGTAGTTATTACCATTTTCTGTTAGACTTTTACAAAGAAAGACTTCAAATAAAATTTAATTAGAGAATAATCCTATTTTATTAGAAAAGGAAATGCTTAATCATGAAATTTGTACCTTAATAATAGATCATGGAGATTATGGATATAACGAGGGGGTAAGTAATAGATATATTAAGTTTTTCTTGACACCAGAACAGGGTAACTAAGACTATTGCTAAACTGAAAATGGTGAATTTGAATAGCAAAAGCAAAAAGAAAAGTCAAAAAGTATTGGTAGATAGATGATCAGTGATCAGAATTACCTCCTTCAGTAGATGTGGCAAAATTGTTAGAAATCTATTCAGAAAAGCTTCGTTCACTGTTGCAACTTCATCATTGCTTATACTTCTTAGAGATGGAAATTGATCGCGATTGATCTCCTTTTTTCCAAATGGGTTTTGAGTGAACCACTCGTTTACCGACCAAGTTCCGGCAAAGCTAAATATCACATCGGTTTTACTTGACTTGTCGTGGAGATAAAGCTTTTCCGGATATTTATAAGCCTTCATCGCCAATGAGCAGGCTTTATTGATCAGCTCTTCTCCCAACCCAAACCTTGAACTCGCCATTCTTGCGGAATTTGCAGCTGTGCTTTTGCTTGTTGATCTCTCTTATTCTCTGAGCTAAATTTAAAGGGGATGAAACAGGTGAAGAATGACTTAGAACACCCTTTTCTTGCTCGATTGGATGGTGGACCTCAGCGCAGATTAAGGAGTTTTTGGGCATTAAACAATCATTGACTGACTTAGATACTTCCCTGCAATTTCACTAGAAACACCTTTTTTTTTTTATGACGGCAAGTCAATCCACGCACTACAATTGCAACTTTTTCTTATTTTCTTGTGTTGATTTGGTAGTGCAATTGCTTGGAAGCTGTAGTTTTGGTAGTCCAAAATATCCTTGTAACATGACGCCATGACGGGACGCGTGAACTGTAGATTAACCTGAGAATGGTAAGTTATGGTGGTTGATGTAAATGAAAAGGTTACCCAGCTACTTATCACTGTTTCTAAGCGAAAATATATATATATATTTACTTTCATATTTACTTAATACATTTTATTTTTCTTGGATGGTTAATTTTTAATCTATGGTGAATCGGTTGAGCAGGAAGACATAGTCGGCTTAAATCCCTAGTATCACCTAAATTTAGGCCCAAACTCTTGCCATCTTTACACAAGTGAAGTCCTATGGGGCGGATGTTTGATTTTTCCCCTCTACTTGAGCATCGAGAGCAAAATCCAGAAAGGTCAAGATCAGCGATGGTAAATTTCTCAAACAATCAGGTAATTATTTCTCATGCACCAGCTGATTAACGAAATCTGTTTGGTCACTGTGAAATTTAAGAGGTCAGGAAATGCATGGGTTGTACTCTCTTGATATCATTTGAGGCAGCTTACAAATATATATAAGGTTCATGTTCGTTGATTGAATTAACTTTAGGCATTTGTGTCTTAGGGTTTAAAATCGTTATTTTATTTGTATCTAATAGTTTTTCTTTTTTCAAAAAGTTTGCATTAGGTGATTAGGGTTTGTAACATCCTATTTCGTTAATCGTCTTAACAGAACAAAAAAAGAGAAAATTGATCATGGAAAATGAATCTAGGACTGAGAAATCCATTATATTTATTTCTGGAGTTGGTCAAATTTCAACACACAAATATTCTTCAAAAGCTATCATCTGATTCACTGGAAGTTTTCGTCTCAGCTATATTTGACATGAATTGTTCACGGAAATTTCGGAATGTCACTGGAGTTCTTGCTGCTGGTGAAAGTGATGGTGACGTCGATGATACTACACTCATCACATTCTTCTTTTGTAAATTTTGAGTAATGTCGGTGCAAACTCGATCAACCATGTCAAGAAAATCTTTCACTATGCCAAACAGTTGAATGGGGTGTGCCCATCTGTCTTTGGCACCTCCTGCTTGATAATATTCTGTTGTTCGCTTCACAAGCTCCATAACCCTTATTTGCTCCTCTCTAACCACTTTAAGTTCCTCTTCGCACTCCTCTAGAAACCCTTTCATTTCCCTTAGAAACCCACCTTTCTCACCAGTGGCACAGCGTGTCACTAGCTGCCGAATTTCTGCAACATGGGATGTGAGAGAGGTGCATGTATTGATGAAAGGGTCACATTCTATTGTGGCTGCTTTCTTTACATTTGAGAACTCAAAACTTAAGCTTCCCACTACTGGCAATCCTAATTTAAGGTACTCTTTGTCTTTGTCCTCTGCTGTGAGGCCATCTGAATTTAAATCTCTATTTTTGCTTCTTAGAGTATTACTTCTTCCAAGGCTATGGTTCCGACTGATTACACAGCGTCTACCCTCTGATCGGATCACTTGTTCCACAACAAAGTGGAGTAGAGTAGTCTTCCCATCGGTGCTTTTAACATCAGACAGCTTGCGGAGGGCAGTTAAGTTGAAACCTTGTGCATCTCCCCTGGAGGTTCCAGCATTCATCTTATTACCAGCCTTAAGAATGGCTTCAAGAAGTTTTAGGAAGAGCCCTCGGGTTCTAAGCTCCTTACAGCCCAATTCAAGAGCTTGCAAGGACTCTTTAAGGTGAAGAATTTCCGAATCATAATTTGATCTAAAAAGCATTGCATTAATACGGATGAATGCCAAAGGAACAGCTTTCAGGATGTGGAAAAGGAAAGACTCGGCATCTGCAAGTTTAGTTGGGTTGCCGTTGAATTGGAGGATTTTTGCCGATTCTTCTTGGCTTGGAGAAATTTTGGTCAGTTTTTCTAAAATGTCACTGGTAAGTCCCTGGCCCTCAAGGAGGGCCTCAATGATTTCTTTTCGGGAGATTGCTAGAGATCTTAGTACAATTGCTGTATTCTGGGACTTGCGGGGCTCAAGGATAAAAATTTGGGCAGTCATTGCAGGATTAGAACTGCTTGAACTGATGGACATATTAGTGCTTCCAGGGGTTCTGCGATTGGTGGTAGTGTATCCAAATAGATTTTCAATCATTTCATCATCAAATCTGTGCACCATGTAGAAGAATCAGCAATAAGAAATGTAGTAGTGCATCAGGACTTCAAATTATGTTATAAATGTGTTTTTGGAAAAATTACCTAAGCGATCCATCCTTGATCTCATTCCAGACCATTGAATGATCAACATTGGTTAAAACCTTGTCCCAGTGCAATGGTTTCAGCTTCTTCTGGCCAACAACAGTCCTTTTTGAGTTCTCCGCTGCAGCAGCTCCTTCCTTACTCTTATCTGCATTCCGTCTAGGTGCAGGTGGAGGTTTCAATAATGGAATCGAATTTAGTCCCTTAGGTGGTGGAAGTGTTGTAGAATTTCTTTTTACTGGTATTGGTGGTGGTGGTGGCGGTGGTGGACGAGCAAGCAGAGGTGGAGGAGGAGGAGGTGGTGGTGGCGGCGGTGGTGGTGCTGGAACTTTTTCAGTTGGAGTGGCTGGAGGAGGAGGTGGAGTTTGCTCCAGCAGCTTTGCTGAAAATGGAGGTGGTGGAGTAGGATTTTGTTGAACTGTCTCTGCCTTTTTCTTATAACCATACAAATCAGATGGCTCATGGAGTGACAAAGCTTCCCTTGGTTTTGGTTTTCTCAGTACGTCCACTCTGTTTTCTTCATCTTCTTCTTCTTCATAACTAGGATTGAACACAATCTTCGGAAAAGTAGCTTTAAGTTGCCCATCTTCGAGTCTCCTCATGTACAGGACATCTTGTCCGTTTTCATCAACAATTAAACCTTTTACTTTTCCTTTAAACTTATTGAAGTCTTCATGAGTGAGTGTTGCTTCCTCTCGACGGAAGCTTGAGTTGGTTTTAGTTTTCTTGCGGTGTTTTGCTATTCTTTGGAAGAATAAGAACGCCACTCCAGCAATAACTAGAGTAATTGCAGCTGTGGCAGCAATGGTCTTGACAATGCTTCGATCTGATGTAGGTGGTGGCATTGCTGGAATTTGTTCCGCAGGAAAGAGAAACTATCAACTTTCTTTGAAGAATCCTACCGGGAAGAAGAAAGGAAAACAAGAAGTAAGAAGCACAACAAAAAGAGAAGTAAAGGACATGGGTGGACCATTTTCTCAAAGAGTAATTTTTCTGTTGTTGTTTCAATGCTATGTGATTTTAGGCAATGTGAGTAAATTTTTCTGTTGTTGTTTCAATGCTATGTGATTTTAGGCAGTGGGAGTAAATTTTTCTGTCGTGCAGATTGGTTCTGTTAGCTGACAGTTTCAATGAAGGTAGTTGTTGTTGGTTGGATTTGCTTAACTCTTGCTGAAAAAGTCTTAACAAAAGGGACAATAATATCTTAACAAAAGGGACAATAATATTCTCAGATTTTGATTACTATATGATTGTTGCAGGCAGAAGGACCTTTAAGTGAGTTAGCCAGTTTTCGATGCAAGTATAGTTTTAGCCGGCCTTGCACAACTTCAATGTAATCGACAACAAAGTCTATAAATATAATTTGATCTCTTGGAACATCCTTCGTTGCATTGTTAGTATTATCAAATTAGAATAAAATAATCAAGAAAAACTTTGAAGACCAGACCCGAATGTCTTGCAAGCTGCCACTCGGCATCACAGTATTGTCAAAATGTTCTAACTGATCTAGTTTTCTTTCTTTTCTAAAGTCGGAAACTAGGGCCTGAACCCAAGTTATATCTTTGATTTGCATTGTTGTTCCTTTAAAGACCTCCATGGGTTTAAACGCTACAAGACATGCTGCTGCTGCTACTCTCAAATCAACACAAACTCAGGGATGAATGAATGGGCTAGACATAAATATGAAAGTGAAAAGCCTGCAGTCCATTTAATGATTTGGTGATATTAGAACTAGAAGCTTTAAAAGTTGTGCACCATCCCCATTTATGGGAGTGATAAGAATGTAGATACCCCGAATAATTATGTATTTATCTTGGTGTTCCTGTAGTGGATTTAAAGAATTCAACAGAATTTGGAAGTGTTATTGAGAAATAAATTTTAGCTATTCCTATATTATACCATAAAAATTCAGATAGAGTTAGCCATATTTAAAATTAAAAATTCAAAGATACTTGATTTGTTGTAGTAGATGGGAAAAGGAGAAGCATTTAACCAAGAATAATACCATACCCAACAGATATTAGATTCCTTTCACATGCAACACCTGTAATATGCTTCATATCTTGAAGTCAAACCGAAAGAAGGTTTGGTTTAGAGAATATTATATTATTGAGAATGTTATGTTAATAAAAAGATAGATTATTTAGGGAAATATGTTTGGTTAGATTGAAATAAATTGGTTAGTATGTTATATATTGATACATTTAGTTAGGAAGAATAAATTTATAGGTACGTTATTTAACAAAATCACCCCCACCTACCCCAAGCCACTGTCGGTGGTCGGTGGTGGTGTTGGGTAGCCTGCAATTTGTTTTAAATACAAAGGCATCACTATTAAAAAACTTAATTAATTAGGGATATAATTGCAATGACAGGTTCATGTAAATTAATTTCAAAATAAATGCATTATTGTCTAAAATTTTTATTAATAAGAAGTAAAATTGTAACAAAAATAACATTACCAATGGAGCGTTTGGATCATATAATGTTTTATTGTAAGGATATATTGTATTAAATAGAAAGAAATATCAACTTGAAGATTGCTGAGAATGTTTAGAAATTGTGTTTGGTTGGTTCGAATAAATTGATGAATAATATGTTTCATTGGGAAGATAAATGGTGGGTATGTTATATAAATTACTAAATTGTCCTATTTTTTTAAATATTAATATAATAAATTTTTTTATTATTATTTTTTGAATCAATTCTTTTAACCCTCAACATTTGAATTTTTTTTAAAACACCATAGTTATATAAAACTTTAATTTGTAGTAAAATGACCCCCACACCCACCCTCAGCCACTGCTGGCAGCCAGCCACCGCCGACAGTTGACAAAATAGCGCACGATTGGCCGCATATGATTGTTCGTGCGTCGGCAAAGTCGGAAATGACCATGGATCACAAATCCATGGCCGAAAAACAACCAAATCTATGGTCGTGAAACAGTCATAGAATCACCAGGTCTGGCCGAAAAAGGCCTTACCAATGCACGACTGATCAGATCTTGCCGGTCGTGCATCAGTACTGTGATTGATGTCGACGGTCGGTGGTTGGATGGCTGGGGGTATTTTATTAACTTTTAAACTTTTTGTGGCTAAGATGTTTTAGCTAATTTCTCAAATGTAGGAAGGCCAACTAATTGTTATTTGGTAGACATTTGAGAGTAATTGTGTCTGAAATGGTTTTTAATTAAGGACAAAATAGATAGAAAAATCATATTATTCTAATAATATTTTAATAACACCCTCTAACAAAATAATAAGATTATCCTAAACATTATCAACAATAAATACTATTTATAATAAAAGATTACCATAATATTTTGTTACTTGTAAACTAAACACCATAATCTTATAAAATAAACAAAAATTATCCCTATTATCTTATATATCCCCGGATCAAAACGGTTCCTAAATAAAATATCCTATGTTGTTAACAATAATTATTATTAATTTTAGAAGATTAACTTCTTTTTTATATTTTATACTATTACTTTTGACAATTAAATATGATAATATAGTCCCCATAATAGAAAACAACGCACCTCGACAATAGAAAATAACCCGCAACCAAACAACACAGTAAGAAACTGCGGCACTGTACTTGTTTCTTGGTCATCCCAAATAGCTAAAGATGAACTGTTGAAGCAAGTGAGTTTCTGCGTTCAACCCAAGAAGCCATTAGTTCTTGAATTATCAGTCAGTCATTTTGGGCAGAGTGATTTTCGAAGTCCCATAGACTAATATTTCATTTTAGACTGTTAAAAAAGTCTATTACCTTTTACAAGTTTATCTCCAGAAAGTTGAATGCAAATTACGATAATCATATTCAGATGTTAAACTAAACTTTTACCAGTACCAAATACCGAGATTAAGGAACCCAAGGATGATAAATTAATTTATCCCCTCACATTTGGGATTTCACTGATTTCAATTAAGTTTTCATCTCCCACAAAACGTACAAGAAGATTTTCTTTACATTTCTTACATAATTTTCACCTTTTTATTTGGTTCTAATTAAACTTTCAAGTCAGCATGTATGTAGGCCAGACTACACACATAAATAAAACAAAACTAATCTTCTACTTGGGGGTTGTGAGTAAACTACTGATTATAGACAATAAACGGCAAATCTTTGCCACTCATATCAGTCTCTGTCAAGCAATTTAGACCGCTTGGAGGGACTACCCAGTAGGAGCTCCGGCTGACTAAGCGGTGATGATGGAGAAGATGGTGGGTCGGAAGATGATGCATCATCACCAGCAGGCAACTGCAAGAATGATAGTGAAGTTGTTGGCGAGGATGATGATGATGATGANTTTTTTTTTTAAATTACTGATGTACGGTAACACAATCTTAGGTTTTGATACGGTAGAGAGTGGGTCATGGACCTCTCATGGTAGTGCTCCACATCCCATATTAATTAAAATTTAAATTAATTAATTAATTAATTAAAGTGGGTTCTGTTATTTTTCTCCATTTGCGTGATGAGGTGGAAAAGTAAACCGCCGCTTTTGACATATTGTTCCTAATCCATCCGCCAACAAAGACAGATCAGATTAGGCCCATCATTTTTTAAGAAATAATTGGTTCAGTCCGACCCATTAATCCTAATTTATTGGGTTAGATTACGGATCAGGTCGGATTAATCTTATTTTTTTGTTTTATTTAATTAACGATTTATAAATAAATAAATAAAATTATTTTTAGTTAGCTTTTTAAATATCAATAATTCAATTAAATTAATTTTTTTATTAACATTTCAAATATTAATTCAATTTTAATATAATAAAATTGTAATATAAGAAAAATTAGATTTATTCATTTAATTGATGAAACTTTAGCATAAGAATGAATTATATTTTATACAAGACATAGAAATTTGAGAATAAGACTTCAATATTTAATTTTTTTATATTTTACGTACCATAAAAAATAATAATAACAATGTGTCAAATATTACGAAGTTTTATAAATTTTAATATTTATGATTTAGAAGTATAATTTAATATTATTGTATAAAATTATTTGTGAGAGTTCACTAATAATAGTTTAATTAAAAGAACTAAAAAAATGATAGAAATTTGAAAAAAATAATTAATTTTTTATTTTTTTAAATTTTTTTTGAACCAATCCATCATATTCGACTATTGTAAACAAATAGCAACCCAGCCTAACTGAGGGTTGTTGGCGGATTGCGTTCAACCTGATCCATCATATAACGGTTCGGATTGAACCCTTTTTATTATCCGTCGGGTTAAGATTAACCCACCGAACCTGACCTATTTATTCCACCTAGTTCAGACTTCTTTACTCTCATTTAATATGCCCATGATCTGCTTGGGAGTTTACGCATTATCATTCTTTTTTTTTTTAATTTATTTTATTTATCTTTGGGTTTAATTTTTGAAAGAGAATAGAATCTCTGATGGAGTGTAAATGGGAAGAGATTTTGTTGTCCTTTGCAAATCCGTAGTGAATCCTGAGGTGACAACGCGAAGCACCTTTTACAAGGAGTATCGATTTCAGCAATCACATTTTATTATTACTTTAATTTTTTAATTTTCTTAACAAAACTTTGCTGTGATTAAAACGGTTTTTAATTAACGATAAAATAGGTAAAAAAATCAGATTACTCCAATAATGTTTTAATAACATCCCTAATAAAATAATAAGATTATCCTCATATTACAAACAGTAAATATTATTTACAATAAAAGATTATCATAATATTTGTTATTTGCAAACTAAACACCAAAATCTTATAAATAAATCCCTATTATATTAAATACCTCCTACCAAAACGGCCCCCAAATAATATCCTATATCGCTAACAATAGTTATTATTGATTTAAAACAATATATTATTAATTTTAAAAGATTAACACTATCTTATATTTTATATTACTTAGACAATAAATATGATAATATAGTCCATAATAGAAACAACCCACTCGACAATAGAAAATACACCGCAACCAACACCACAGTAAGAAACTGCGGCACTGTACTGTTCTTGGTCATCCCAAAAAGCTAAAGATGAACTGTTGAAGCGAGTTTCTGCGTTCAACCCAAGACGCATTAGTTCTTGAATTATAGCCAGTATTGGGCAGAGTGATTTTCGAAGTCCCATACACTAATATTCATTTTAGACTGTACAAAAAGTCATTACCTTTTACAAGTTCATCTCCAGAAGTGAATGCAAATTACGATAATCATTCAGATGTTAAACTAAACTTTTACCAGTACCAATACCGAGATTAAGGAACCCAAGGATGATAAATTAATTTATCCCCTCACATTTGGGATTTCACTGATTTCAATTAAGTTTTCATCTCCCACAAAACGTACAAGAAGATTTTCTTTACATTTCTTACATAATTTTCACCTTTTTATTTGGTTATATTAACTTTCAAGTCAGCTGTATGTAGGCCAGACTACACACATAAATAAAACAAAACTAATCTTCTACTTGGGGGTTGTGAGTAAACTACTGATTATAGACAATAAACGGCAAATTCTTGCCACTCTATCAGTCCTGTCAAGCAATTTAGACGCCTTGGAGGGACTACCCAGTAGGAGCTCCGGCTGACTAAGCGGTGATGATGGAGAAGATGGTGGGTCGGAGGATGATGCATCATCACCAGCAGGCAACTGCAAGAATGATAGTGAAGTTGTTGGCGAGGAGATGATGATGATGATGATGATGATGATGAAGATGAGGGCTGATCCTCATCCCTTGCTTCCTCTTCTGTGTCTTGTCTTGGAGTGTTCTCTAATCCCCTTTAATTATGAATTCTTTTAGCCTTCTAACATCAGCTAGTTTTACAGGCTTTACTATGTAATCCTCTGCACCTTCTTCCAAACACCTGATTTTCAGAAAACAAAGGAAACCTGTCAATGGGGTTGCTGTAAACTTGTTCTGAACAATATGATCCAAGTTGGTTGGTGGGTACTTAATTTTGGAACAATATTAAGATAAACATATAATAAATAATATTTTGCTTCTAACACTCATTCAAAATATTAAGATTCGGATCTCTCTTCCTTAATTCTAAATTACACAGTAGTTCATCAACAAGATAACACCATGTGCAGGTTTTTATAATATGTTTTCGTTAAAAAACTCACAAAAGGTATCTGCAGAACACAATAGTGGCATCAATATTTGTGACATCTCCATTATTATGTCCCTAGTAATGCAATAACAATCACACCCTATATGAGTATGAAACAAGGCTGGGAATATGATTAACTCACACGATTTCGATCAGAACAATTTCACAGGCACATGATTTCAATTCAAATCAAATAGAGCCCAAATATTTATTAACATCCAAGGACTCCCAGATTGTGTTGTGTCAGAATTGATTTGCAATCAAATGCATTCACACCCTAAACCCTAAAGAAGAGATGAAAAAAAATTATCCTGTCAATACGAGTCAGAATATTTTCAGATGACATTATCACAACTGGGATTTCTCTGAAAGCTGATGATTCCTGCTCAAACGTAGATTAAATAACAGATCAGCATAACAGGTTATAGAATGAAATCTCATCATAGAGTACAGTGGCCTCAGAAATGTCCTTGAAAGAAAAAGGGGAAGGCCTAAAGAACTGACCTGTCTTTTTGAGCAGTTCGTAACCAGTCATCCCAGGCATAGAGTAGTCAGTCATGATCAGATTCACCTTCAGAGCCTGTAAATCAACAAATTATCATTCAAAAGAACAAGAAAGAATAAACTTAATTTGCAATACTTTTCGGTTGATGAGAAAATGTAGACAAAAAAAATCATCTCAACTTGGCCTAACCAAAAAGGAGGAAAACAAATAAAAATTCACAGTCCATGATATTATCTCTCTTATTCTCATGAAAGTTTATAACTTTTTGCCCTGTTCCATTTCTCATCAACCAAACACAAACACAAAAAGAAAAATTTAAAGCAATATTAGCTTACATCAAAATCAACCGAGCTCTTCCCTCCATCCAATCCCAGATATTCAGAGCGCTTATTCCACTTTCCACAGCCGTGACTGCAAGAACCAAATTCAATCAGCTTCACAAACCTTTTACCATCTCACCTCCCCCAAAAAAAACACATACCTTTACAAGCCGAACCTTGAGCAACCTTTCAATAACCTTACGATCAAAATAACTGTCATCAACAGCAAGAACATGCAACTCCCATCAGACGGTGTACCGAAACCTCAGCAGCCGTTGCCGTTGCCATTTCCAATCCTCAAATTAAAAAAGAATCTCACCTTACGCGTCAAATGCAGGGATCCGTTGGTGGGTTTTCTTTGAAAACTGTGTTGTATATGCAAGAAAGAAAATAATAAGTGACACGGGACCTTGTGCTTTAATTTTTAAATAAGGCAAGGCAAATGCACGGAAGGGAAAGGTAAAGGGTAAGAGAGAGAGATAAAGGCATGAGATTCTGGAGTCCAAATATCGTAGATCTTAGCAAATCTTTCTTTTAAGAAGTAGCAGTTGGGATGAGCATTATGTGGCAACTTTATTTGTCGTGTCAATTTACTAAAATTTCTTGGGAAATATTTGTAGGACCAGTTTGTGTCAGGGAGAAGCAAACCGTATATATTATAACGTGTATATGTTGAGTCGAGGATTTTGACTCTTGGGTCTTCTTAGATTTTCTCAAGATTCACCATGGTCCCCTCGTCTTCTCTTTGACCGGCATTCTCTGACCCACAGCACACAGATAAAACCCCCACTCTGTTCTTCAATCAAATCATAAATCAATAACACCGCCAATATTTTTGTTCTTGTTTCATTTTTTTACAACTGATTTTAATGGTCATTGATTAGAGTAAATCTTACACTTGATAACCTTTATATTTCCTTAATCATGAGATCTATATTTACATTGATATTATTAAATTTATCCCAAAATCAAAATAAATAATGATAAATATTTCATATCAACTAAAGTCTACAGCAACCCAATATCTTAATGAAGATCTCACTTTTCTTTTTTTCTAAAAGTAATAATAAATTAATAATACGATCGGCCTGTGGTTTGATATGATAAAACTTTTGCTATAAAGTAGAACTTTTACGATGTTAAAGAACTGGAAATTAGAAAGACACGGTTTGACCAAAGGTCTCAAGACACTCAAGTCAAATATTTATAATAGAAACCTGACCTAAGAAGCGGAGGTATGTTAGGTTTCGAAAATTAGTAAAAGAAAAGGTTGAGGGGGGCGCAGCGGCGGCGGCAAAATAGTAAGCCGCCCTCGGACTGGCTGTGAGCACGTAATCACTTATGTACCCTCAATTCGACGGAAGCTTGAGTTGGTTTTAGTTTTCTTGCGGTGTTTTGCTATTCTTTGGAAGAATAAGAACGCCACTCCAGCAATAACTAGAGTAATTGCAGCTGTGGCAGCAATGGTCTTGACAATGCTTCGATCTGATGTAGGTGGTGGCATTGCTGGAATTTGTTCCGCAGGAAAGAGAAACTATCAACTTTCTTTGAAGAATCCTACCGGGAAGAAGAAAGGAAAACAAGTAGTAAGAAGCACAACAAAAAGAGAAGTAAAGGACATGGGTGGACCATTTTCTCAAAGAGTAATTTTTCTGTTGTTGTTTCAATGCTATGTGATTTTAGGCAATGTGAGTAAATTTTTCTGTTGTTGTTTCAATGCTATGTGATTTTAGGCAGTGGGAGTAAATTTTTCTGTCGTGCAGATTGGTTCTGTTAGCTGACAGTTTCAATGAAGGTAGTTGTTGTTGGTTGGATTTGCTTAACTCTTGCTGAAAAAGTCTTAACAAAAGGGACAATAATATCTTAACAAAAGGGACAATAATATTCTCAGATTTTGATTACTATATGATTGTTGCAGGCAGAAGGACCTTTAAGTGAGTTAGCCAGTTTTCGATGCAAGTATAGTTTTAGCCGGCCTTGCACAACTTCAATGTAATCGACAACAAAGTCTATAAATATAATTTGATCTCTTGGAACATCCTTCGTTGCATTGTTAGTATTATCAAATTAGAATAAAATAATCAAGAAAAACTTTGAAGACCAGACCCGAATGTCTTGCAAGCTGCCACTCGGCATCACAGTATTGTCAAAATGTTCTAACTGATCTAGTTTTCTTTCTTTTCTAAAGTCGGAAACTAGGGCCTGAACCCAAGTTATATCTTTGATTTGCATTGTTGTTCCTTTAAAGACCTCCATGGGTTTAAACGCTACAAGACATGCTGCTGCTGCTACTCTCAAATCAACACAAACTCAGGGATGACTGAATGGGCTAGACATAAATATGAAAGTGAAAAGCCTGCAGTCCATTTAATGATTTGGTGATATTAGAACTAGAAGCTTTAAAAGTTGTGCACCATCCCCATTTATGGGAGTGATAAGAATGTAGATACCCCGAATAATTATGTATTTATCTTGGTGTTCCTGTAGTGGATTTAAAGAATTCAACAGAATTTGGAAGTGTTATTGAGAAATAAATTTTAGCTATTCCTATATTATACCATAAAAATTCAGATAGCGTCAGCCATATTTAAAATTTAAAATACAAAGATACTTGATTTGCTGTAGTAGATGGGAAAAGGTGAAGCATTTAACCAAGAATAATACCTTACCCAACAGATATTAGATTCCTTTCACATGCAACACCTATGATATGCTTCGTATCTTGAAGTCAAACGGAAGGAAACATTATTTTGTCAGTGTGTTTGGTTTAGAGAATGTTGTATTATTGAAAATATTATATTAATGAAAAGATATATTATTTAGAAAAATATGTTTGGTTAAATTGAAATAAATTGGTTAATATGTTATATTGATACATTTAGTTAGGAGAAATAAATTGCTGAGTATGTTATTTAACAAAATCACCTCCACCTACTCCAAGCCACTGTCGGTGGCCGGTGGTGGTGTTGGGTGGCCGACAATTTGTTTTAAATACAAAGACATTAATATTAAAAAACTTAATTAATTAGGGATATAATTGCAATGATAGGTTCATGTAAATTAATTTCAAAATAAAGGCATTATTGTCCAAAATTTTTATTAATAAGAAGTAAAATTGTAACAAAATTAACATTATCAATAGGGCGTTTGGATCATATAATGTTTTATTATAGAGGTATATTATATTAACGGAAAGAAATATCACCTTGAAGATTACTGGAAATGTTTGGAAATTATGTTTGGTTGGTTCGAATAAATTGATGAATAATATGTTTGGTTGGGAAGATAAATGGGTGAGTGAGTATGTTATATAAATTACTAAATTTCCCCCATTTTTTAATATTAATATAATAGTATTTTTTAATATTATTTTTTGAATCATTTCTTTTAACCTCTTACATTTGAAATTTTGTTAAAACACTATAATCATATAAAACTTTAATTTATAGCAAAATCACCCCAAGCTACTGCTGGTAGTCAGCCACCACCGACAGTCGACAAAATAGCGCACGATTGGTCATATATGATCGGTCGTGAGCCAACAAAGTCGGAAATGACCATGGATCACAAATTCATGGCCGAAAAACGACCAGATCTATGGTCGTTAGATTTGGTTGTTTTTCAGCCATAGAATCACCAAGTTTGGTCGAAAAAGTCCTTACTAACGCACAACTGGCCAGGTCTCGCTAGTCATGCACTATTACGACGATTGACACCGGCGGTCGGTGGTTGGGGGTATTTTGTTCACTTTTAAACTTTTTGTGGCTGATGTGTTTTAGCTAATTTCTCAAATGTAGGGAGACCGGATAATTGTTATTTGGTAGACATTTGAGAGCAATTGTGTCTAAAACGGTTTTTAATTAACGATAAAATAGGTAAAAAAATCAGATTACTCCAATAATGTTTTAATAACATCCCCTAATAAAATAATAAGATTATCCCTCATATTACAAACAGTAAATATTATTTACAATAAAAGATTATCATAATATTTTGTTATTTGCAAACTAAACACCAAAATCTTATAAAATAAATCCCTATTATATTAAATACCTCCTACCAAAACGGCCCCAAATAATATCCTATATCGCTAACAATAGTTATTATTGATTTTAAAAACAATAATTATTATTAATTTTAAAAGATTAACACTATCTTATATTTTATATTACTTAGACAATTAAATATGATAATATAGTCCCCATAATAGAAAACAACCCACCTCGACAATAGAAAATAACCCGCAACCAAACACCACAGTAAGAAACTGCGGCACTGTACTTGTTTCTTGGTCATCCCAAAAAGCTAAAGATGAACTGTTGAAGCGAGTTTCTGCGTTCAACCCAAGACGCCATTAGTTCTTGAATTATCAGCCAGTCATTTTGGGCAGAGTGATTTTCGAAGTCCCATACACTAATATTTCATTTTAGACTGTACAAAAAGTCTATTACCTTTTACAAGTTCATCTCCAGAAAGTTGAATGCAAATTACGATAATCATATTCAGATGTTAAACTAAACTTTTACCAGTACCAAATACCGAGATTAAGGAACCCAAGGATGATAAATTAATTTATCCCCTCACATTTGGGATTTCACTGATTTCAATTAAGTTTTCATCTCCCACAAAACGTACAAGAAGATTTTCTTTACATTTCTTACATAATTTTCACCTTTTTATTTGGTTCTAATTAAACTTTCAAGTCAGCATGTATGTAGGCCAGACTACACACATAAATAAAACAAAACTAATCTTCTACTTGGGGGTTGTGAGTAAACTACTGATTATAGACAATAAACGGCAAATCTTTGCCACTCATATCAGTCTCTGTCAAGCAATTTAGACCGCTTGGAGGGACTACCCAGTAGGAGCTCCGGCTGACTAAGCGGTGATGATGGAGAAGATGGTGGGTCGGAAGATGATGCATCATCACCAGCAGGCAACTGCAAGAATGATAGTGAAGTTGTTGGCGAGGATGATGATGATGATGATGATGATGATGATGAAGATGAGGGCTGATCCTCATCCCTTTGCTTCCTCTTCTGATGTCTTGTCTTGGAATTTTCCTCTAATTCCCCTTTAATTATGAATTCTTTTAGCCTTCTAACATCAGATAGTTTTACAGGCTTCACTATGTAATCCTCTGCACCTTCTTCCAAACACCTGATTTTCAGTAAAACAAAGGAAGCTTGTCAATGGGGTTGCTGTAAACATTGTTCTGAAACAATATGATCAAGTTGATTGGTTGGGTACTTAATTTTGGAACAATATTAAGATAAACATATAATAAATAATATTTTGCTTCTAAACATTCAAGATATTAAGATTCGGATCCTTCTCTTCCTTAATTCTAAATTACACAGTAGTTCCAATCAACAAGATAACACCATGTGCAGGTTTTTATAATATGTTTTCGTTTAAAGAACCCACAAAAGGTGTCTGCAGAACACAATAGTGGCATCAATATTTGTGACATCTCCATTATTATGTCCCTAGTAATGCAATAACAATCACACCCTATTATGAGTATGAAAACAGGCTGGAAATACTGATTAACTCAACAGATTTCGATCAGAACAATTTCACAGGCACATGATTTCAATTCAAATCAAATAGAGCCCAAATATTTATTAACATCCAAGGACTCCCTAGATTGTGTTGTGTCAAGAATTGATTTGCAATCAAAATGCATTCACACCCTAAACCCTAAAGAAGAGATGAAAAAAAATTATACCTGTCAATACGAGTCAGAATATTTTCAGATGACATTATCACAACTGGGATTTCTCTGAAAGCTGATGATTCCTGCTCAAACGTAGATTAAATAACAGATCAGCATAACAGGTTATAGAATGAAATCTCATCATAGAGATACAGTGGCCTCAGAAAATGTCCTTGAAAGAAAAAGGGGAAGGCCTAAAGAACTGACCTTGATCTTTTTGAGCAGTTCGTAACCAGTCATCCCAGGCATAGAGTAATCAGTCATGATCAGATTCACCTTCAGAGCCTGTAAATCAACAAATTATCATTCAAAAGAACAAGAAAAGAATAAACTTAATTTGCAATAACTTTTCGGTTGCTGAGAAAAATGTAGAAAAAAAAAAATCATCTCAACTTGGCCTAACCAAAAAGGAGGAAAAAAAAAATAAAAATTTCACAGTCCATCATATTATCTCTGTTATTCTCATGAAAGTTTATTAACTTTTTGCCCTGTTCCATTTTCTCATCAACCAAACACAAACACAAAAAGAAAAATTTAAAGCAATATTAGCTTACATCAAAATCAACCGAGCTCTTCCCTCCATCCAATCCCAGATATTGCAGAGCTCTTATTCCACTTTCCACAGCCGTGACTGCAAGAACCCAAATTCAATCAGCTTCACAAACATCTTTTATCCATCTCACCACCCCCAAAAAAACACATACCTTTACAAGCCGACACCTTGAGCAACCTTTCAATAACCTTACGATCAACATAACTGTCATCAACAGCAAGAACATGCAACTCCTCATCAGACGGTGTACCGTAAACCTCAGCAGCCGTTGCCGTTGCCGTTGCCATTTCCAATCCTCAAATTAAAAAAGAATCTCACTTTACGCGTCAAATGCAGGATCCGTTGGTGGGTTTTCTTTGAAAACTTGTGTTGTATATGCAAGAAAGAAAATAATAAGTGACACGGGACCTTGTGCTTTAACTTTTTAAATAAGGCAAGGCAAATGCCAGGAAGGGAAAGGTAAAGGGAAAGAGAGAGAGAGAGAGAGAGAGATAAAGGCATGAGATTCTGAGGATCCAAATATCGTAAGATCTTAGCAAATCTTTCTTTTTAAGAAGTAGCAGTTGGGATGAGCATTATGTGGCAACTTGTTATTTGTCGTGTCAATTTACTAAAATTTCTTGGGAAATATTTGTAGGACCAGTTTGTGTCAGGGAGAAGACAAACCGTATATATTATAACGTGTATATGTTGAGTCGAGGATTTTGACTCTTGGGTTCTTCTTAGATTTTCTCAAGATCTCACCATGGTCCCCTCGTCTTCTCTTTGACCGGCATTCTCTGACCCACAGCACACAGATAAAACCTCCACTCTGTTCTTCAATCAAATCATCAAATCAATAACACCGCCAATATTTTTGATTTCTTGTTTCATTTTTATCAACTGATTTTAATGGTCATTGATTAGAGTAAATCTTACACTTTGATAACCTTTTATTTTTATCCCTTAATCATGAGATCTATATTTACATCTGATATTATTAAATTTATCCCAAAATCAAAATAAATAAATGATAAATATTTTCATATCAACTAAAGTCTACAGCAACCCAATATCTTATATGAAGATCTCACTTTTTCTTTTTTTCTAAAAGCTAATAATAAATTAATAATACGATCGGCCTGTGGTTTTGATATGATAAAACTTTTGTTATAAAGTAGAACTTTTACAGATGTTAAAGAACTGGAAAATTAGAAAGACACGGTTTGACCAAAGGTCTCAAGACACTCAAGTCAAATATTTATAATTAGAAACCTGACCTAAAGCGGAGGTATGTTAGGTTTCGAAAATTAGTAAAAGAAAAGGTTGAGTGGGGCGCAGCGGCGGCGGCAAAATAGTAAGCCGCCCTCGGACTGGCTGTGAGCAGTTAATCACTTAATTGTCACCTCAATTTTTTTTTTTTAAATTACTGATGTACGGTAACACAATCTTAGGTTTTGATACGGTAGAGAGTGGGTCATGGACCTCTCATGGTAGTGCTCCACATCCCATATTAATTAAAATTTAAATTAATTAATTAATTAATTAAAGTGGGTTCTGTTATTTTTCTCCATTTGCGTGATGAGGTGGAAAAGTAAACCGCCGCTTTTGACATATTGTTCCTAATCCATCCGCCAACAAAGACAGATCAGATTAGGCCCATCATTTTTTAAGAAATAATTGGTTCAGTCCGACCCATTAATCCTAATTTATTGGGTTAGATTACGGATCAGGTCGGATTAATCTTATTTTTTTGTTTTATTTAATTAACGATTTATAAATAAATAAATAAAATTATTTTTAGTTAGCTTTTTAAATATCAATAATTCAATTAAATTAATTTTTTTATTAACATTTCAAATATTAATTCAATTTTAATATAATAAAATTGTAATATAAGAAAAATTAGATTTATTCATTTAATTGATGAAACTTTAGCATAAGAATGAATTATATTTTATACAAGACATAGAAATTTGAGAATAAGACTTCAATATTTAATTTTTTTATATTTTATGTACCATCAAAAATAATAATAACAATGTGTCAAATATTACGAAGTTTTATATATTTTAATATTTATGATTTAGAAGTATAATTTAATATTATTGTATAAAATTATTTGTGAGAGTTCACTAATAATAGTTTAATTAAAAGAACTAAAAAAATGATAGAAATTTGAAAAAAATAATTAATTTTTTATTTTTTTAAATTTTTTTTGAACCAATCCATCATATTCGACTATTGTAAACAAATAGCAACCCAGCCTAACTGAGGGTTGTTGGCGGATTGCGTTCAACCTGATCCATCATATAACGGTTCGGATTGAACCCTTTTTATTATCCGTCGGGTTAAGATTAACCCACCGAACCTGACCTATTTATTCCACCTAGTTCAGACTTCTTTACTCTCATTTAATATGCCCATGATCTGCTTGGGAGTTTACGCATTATCATTCTTTTTTTTTTTAATTTATTTTATTTATCTTTGGGTTTAATTTTTGAAAGAGAATAGAATCTCTGATGGAGTGTAAATGGGAAGAGATTTTGTTGTCCTTTGCAAATCCGTAGTGAATCCTGAGGTGACAACGCGAAGCACCTTTTACAAGGAGTATCGATTTCAGCAATCACATTTTATTATTACTTTAATTTTTTAATTTTCTTAACAAAACTTTGCTAATTCTACTTCTACTTCTACCTACCAACCCAATTCGTATAAACATTGGGAATTGCTTGCCAGATTGGGGATGATAGTAATTAATATCTGTACCATATAATACAAAGCATAATTAGATTTGTTCAATGGTCAAAATTCACCATGATCTAAGAGGGATTGATTATCGATAACCTATCTATAACCGATTGTGACCAATAAATTTGCAATTGTTTTAATCTTAAGGGTGTATTGTAATAAGAGTAAACCACATGTTCCCACCCAAACATTTGTGAAAATCTCAGATTAACACTGTTAATGATTTTTTGGTTCTAACACACTATGGAGAGTGTTATTATCAAAATACTCTTATAAATAAATTAGTAAATTATTTTTTAACCCAAAATAGATTTGGATTTTTCCAACAATCGCAAGGGAGGGAAAAATCGAGAGAAAAAACTCAGATCTGACCAAAATAGAGGCAAACGAGGCTGGGAGATTGATGGGTTTTGTTGGGCATGAGTAAGGGAAGATAGTGGTGGTGGTGACGATGATGTCAAATGGCGCCAGAATTCGGCTAGATCTAGATTTTTCCAACAGCCACGAGGGAAGGGAAAATCATGGAGAACATGCTCAGATTCGACCAAAATGGAGGCGGACGAGGCTAAGGGATGGATAGGTTTTGTTGGGAATGAGTGAGGGAAGCTAGTGTCGGTGGCGGTGATGTCAAACGGCGCCAGAATCTGGCTTGATCTGCGTTTTTTCGATAGTCGTAAGGGAGGGGAAAGTCATGGAGAAAATGCTCAAACCCAGCCAAATTGGAGGCGGACGAGGCTGGGGGATGGATGAGTTTTTTCGGGGATGAGTGAGGGAAGCTAGTGGTGGTGGCAGTCATGTCTAATGGCGACGGAATCCGGCAAGATGTAAGTTTTTGCAACTGGGGGATGAGGGGTGCTTGTGAAAAAAAATTGAGATGTAAAGGGTTATGTTCAATTTTCTTTTTTATTTAAGATTTAATGACCATTTTACCCTTTGAACGTTAGATCATATGATTTTCTATTAATTTAAGGGTGTCAATTTGGAATAAATGAAACTAGGGGTGAGAACTTATAATTTTGCTAATCTTTGGGCGGGAACTAGACAAGGATTAAAAAAGAGATTAAAGAGGAGAGGACTGAAATAAGAAGCTTTTATTAACTCTTTCTCCCTATTGTTTTACACAAGTGAATGAAATTGGCTCAATTTATAGCCACTCACCGCCCCCACTAAACCTATGGTTCATTACCAAGACAAGACACAAGTGTCTTCAGGTGGACATATATGGACCATGTGTCCATTTGGCAAGCAAGATAGCAAATGTTCGAAAGTCACATTTTTTTTTTTTTAATAAATTGCCCCTTGGTTTCTACCATTTATAAATAATTGCATTTATCATTAGGAAAAACAGTTTCTACCATTTATATATAACTGCATTTAACATTAGGAAAAACCAAGTAGGGTAAAAACTTAAGTAAAGAAATAAAATTTTATAATGAAACTGTAAAGTGATGTTAGACATGCTTCATATTACCTCATTAAAAACCATGTTAAGAAAACCCAATGGGATAAAACTTGAGCAAGGAAAAAATAATATAGTGCACATATGTACTATACAATAGTCATTTTCAAAACTCTCTCTAATCAATGCTCCCCTTGATCAATGCTCCCCTCATAATAGCAAAATTAACTTAATTACTTATTACATTGTTGGATACCGATGCCACACACTAATTTTCAAATGTTGATATCAGTAAGGTCTTAGTGAATAAATTTGCAAGATTATTATTAGAGCGTATTTGTTTGACATCAATCTCTTAACTTTGCTGGAATTCATGAGTGTAAAAGAACTTCAGTGAAATATGCTTAGTTCTGTCTCCTTTTATATATCCTCCCCTAACTTGAGCAATACATGCTACATTGTATTCCTTTATAATTGTAGAAATGTTTGAGGTACATGGTAACTTGCATGTATTCTCTATATGATGGATGACGTATCATAACCATATGCATTATTGGCTAGCTTCATGAAGCGCAAGAATCTTGGAATGATTGGAAGAAGTAGTAACAAATGTTTGTTTTGTAGAGTGTCATGATATTACAGTGTCATTGTAAGTAAAAACATATCTCATCTACAAGTGAGCTTTGTGGGGATACCAAAAAGCTACCCAGCATATGCGTAGCCAACTAATTTAGGATCATTAACATATATCTTCAGATAAAACAATCCTTAGTCTTTTGTTTCACTAAAGTAACAAAAGATATGTTTGATCTCATTCCAATGTTGGTGACTTGGTGTAAAGCTAATATTGCCAACAAATTTATTGCAAATGCTATGTTTGGTCTCGTACATTATATCAAATATAATAATGTACCTATTGCATTCAATTATGGTACTTTAGGACTAAGTATCTTTTTGTCGTTTTATTTAGGACTAAATGAATCATTCTTAGGATCAAAGAGACCGAACTGCCATTGGGGTTCCTCAAGGGGTGAGACTTATCCATATTGAAGGGCTTTATGATGTTTTCAATATAATTTGATTGATGGAGCGATTTTCCCTAGATCCTTGTGTGGGCAAAAATCCCTACTTGGCCCTGGCCAGGCCCAATTGCATTTAGCTCGACACCATGGCCCACGAATAGTTGACTCTACGCCGCGCCGTGACCCAACACGAATTGGCTCTACATCAAAGCCCATGCCCTAGCAGATCCACTCTAAGCGGCCTATTCAACAATAAATTGTAAAGGAATGATAAATTGATTTTTCCTCAATTCGCATCTTTTGGATGCATGCCATAGGATGCATT